AATTGAGTATTTTGAGTTGTATTTGAGTTTGAATATCAGAGATAATATTCTTCTAATATCACAGTGATTTGCCAACAATTAAAATTTTTAATTTATTAATGAACATCCGTGAGAGTCTTCAGGACAGAGGGGAAACTGCAATTTTTGTCTCCTTACCTTTCAACACTGAGAGAAAGACTGTATATACTGTAGCTACTATAGGGCTACTGTCTTGTCAGAAAACTTACTTCCTCTCAGTGCTCAAGGATTCAAGGGCCAATTTGAGCCAATGCCTCCTACACATAGAGGATTCAACATCATTTTACCAACAGTGATCCATGGTGAATGTGGCAGGTACAGTAATTCAACCCATCACTGATTACAGAAGGAAGAATCAGCCTGTCTACAAGAATGATGCCTCTCTTCCAGACATGTGAAATGACTTCTATGCACATTTTAAAGCCTCCAGCACAGAAGCACTAGTAAAAATCAGCTCCTCCTAGTAACCAGGTGGTCACCGAGACTGCAACAGACAAACCCTGCTGAGGGTGAACCCAAATAAAGCTGCCGGCCTGGACAAGATGCCTGCTTGTGTGCTGAAGGAGTGTACCCATCAACTGACTGATGCCTTCACAGACATATCTTCATTATCTTTCTGGCACAGGCTGCTCTCAACACCTGCTTCTATTCAGCCACCATCTCCCCAGCTTTAACCAACTACACCACCGTCATGATATAGAGCAGTATTCAATACCCAGTGCTTTTATCTGCAGTGCGTCTGAACTGGATATTGACTCTTAGTCAAGCTAAGTTTTACTCCAGGAGCATGCAGACCTAGATGACATATTAAGGCATCTACTCAAACAGCCATGCAATGTATATTCTGTGGTGTCAGATTCAGAAAAAGATAGCCTAGACATAGGCATCCTACACAAATGCTGATCAGGCAGAGGCATATATGCTGTTTGCGTCTGAATTCTGCTGTCATCTATGGTCTGAGTGCCACTGAAGTAAATCTTAGCTTGACATCCAGTTCAGAAGCATTGCAGATAAAAGCATGGGGTATTGAATACTGCTCTATAACTTAAAGCGCCTGTCTAGTAAACAGGAGATCCAGCAGTGCCTGACACAAGTTTCTTCTGTTGCTATGCCTTTGTTACAGCCTGAGATGAAACACGACAAGCCAAGATGGGTTCTGCAGCACACTGGATGGTGTGCTTGTGGGTTCAGGTCCTGCCAGAGGTGTTTGCTTTCGGATGTGTGCTGCATGTAGATTTCAATTGTTATCAACAGAGAAGCACCTGCCTAAAAACAGGGACTCTTCTGTGATTGCAAGCACTGTGTCGTCCATGAATTTGCTAGAACCTGAGATGAAACAACATGCCAGGGAGCTAAACTGGGTTCTGTGGTGCAGTAGCATTGGTTTTCTAGGCTCAGTATTGGTGCTATTCCATGGTTGTGGGTTTGAGTCCCACCAGGGTAGTTTGCTTCCACATGTGTCTTGCTTGTTAATTTCTTCTATACCAGACAGGGTGTCTGAGAAGAATTCCATGGTGAGGAATCCTGGTGGATTAGGCAATTCCCTACTTTCCATCTTAGATGGAATGCTTTGTTGGCAAAATGAAGCTGTTGCCTAAATTTAAGTTCTTACAAATACTCGTGACATGGATTCATGCCGTAATTTGTGCTCACACACCCAAACCACACACTAACATTGTGATTAGCAAAGATTAGAAACATATGCTGAGCACCTTCAGAGGAATTGTTGTCAATAGTCATTTGCTTTCAGACATGTGTTGCATGTTGTTTTCAATTGCTATCAATAAATTTTTGGTGATATGTTTGTTAAGACTATGGCCAGAGATCAGATAGTATCTTTTATCTGCTGTGGCTTGTGTCATGGAGAATTCTTCTCGTCTCACACTTAGCTTCGAGGATAAACAAGGAAACAAAAACTTCTTAGAATCAGAAAGAAACTTTATTACAAAGGTAAACCTAAGCAATAAACAAGGTCAGTCTCGAGAGCAAACACTGAAAGTTGATCATAGTGCATGATCTAAAAAGCCCCGAGGACAGGATATATTTGCCTCACTCTAACTCTCTTTACCACCACTGGATGTCTCCCCATCCCTTTATGTCACCCATTTGCCTTTTATGTTATCTAAAGCAGCCAAGGCCGCTGAGACCGCACCAGATAAAGCTGACCTCGGAGAGGTCTCAACTTCCCTCCTTATCAATTTTTCATGCATGTACCTCTTGCATGTGTATTGTGAGTTCTGCCTGTTAATCTATCAAGGCTTTTACTTCTCTTCATCTTAAGCAGTCCTCTGCATAGCCTTGTACAAACTAAATTTATTAGACAGACTTACTGGAGCCTGCCCAGGTGATGGAATGTGTTTGTTCTACTCTTCTTCTAATACTGATGTGCACACTCTGCTCTAAGTCCTAGGAAGTAAGGCCATTTGATAATAATGAACTTGTTTTTCTCATGTCACGTTGCCCTTCACATGTAGGCCAGGGTTCAGTGTCCCTTCCAGAGTTACATAAAGACCGACATTATAAAATGGATTATATGCAATATAAAATAGGTGATATGAAAACATAAAATGTATTTTCTGATTATTTTCCACAATCCCCCTTTGATCAATCTATCTATCACAATAATTTCCCTAATCAGTAATAATCAGAATGCTAATAAAGGGATGATTCGTACCAACGTGATCCTTGGTCAAAGATTAAATAATAACTTTGTGTCCCCTCATTTTCCAGAGACAGGCGAAAAACCCCTTTCATAATTCCAATCAAAGTTGTGCTTTGTGCACAATAGTGTATTGAACACCTGGGTTCAGCAGAGGACTACAACACTTAGATGAGTATAGCATTGCTTAATAAGTTGTGGATCACATGATTAAAGATTATTATCCATCCTCTAAAGCTTAACTACTTACTTAATAATTAGACAGAAACATATTTATAATCTTCTAGGAAAAGGATCAGTGTTAAGTTATGCGTTTGTTTCAGTGGACCCAGTTAAGGGGTTCCTCTAGTTAGGCAAATCCCATCTCTGGTTTTCCCCTATCTGATGTTGGTTAGTTACAATCTCCAGGAGACGGATAAGAATCCAGGAAATCTGTCTATTCCTGGACTCAGACTTTTATTGATTGATTGATTGATTGATTGATTGTTATAGTGGGTTACTGTAAGGCTTATTTTGTTTGTTAAAAAAATACTGTCACCCAGAAGACACATGTAATTATTGCATGCCTCAGTGAAGTCAATATGTGAACTTACTCAAATTACACTTCATATAAAGTTTACTTTGTTTCACAGTTTGTTATGGTGCATATGGGTGGGGTGCTACTCTGAGTAAACCTTTTGCAATTGTCTGAATGTCCCAGCAGTATGCAAAATCAGTCACTTTGTGCCAAATAGTCTCTTAATAAACACATTGTACCTTTCATTCGTCTTCTTCTGCCCCTTGTGATTTTACACCACATAGAGAAGCTCATTGGAGGTCAGAGGAGAGGTTACTCGCACATCACTCTGTCCTCTGTTCTCTGTGTCTTTAAGTGCTCGATTGCCTTATTCAGAGACATACCGGGCTCTTCTGCTGGGCTGCAGTGGCTGATGTGGATCCACGTGTTCAGTCCATTTGCCTTAACTGATGTAGCCATTGCTAGGCTTACCTTGTATGGTCCTTGGACCCTTGGCTCAGCCCACTTTCTCTTGTCCACCTTCATGTAGACCCAGTCACCTGGCTTGGGCAGGTTGTCAGGCTTCACAGGTTCTTTGTGAGGTCTGTTGGCTTCCTTCACCTAGTGATACAGGGACTGATGTATAGAACTTAGTCTATTCAAGTAGTTTGACAACTCATTCTCCACTTGTTCTGGATTGGCATTGGTAAGGGATAGGATAGGATCACGTTTGAGGCAGTCACGTAGCTAAAGAGAAAGAACCATAGAATTGATTGTTAATTTTTTTCATAATTGTATATATATATTTTTTATAATTTGTTTAATATTTTAATATTGTTATAAAAATATTCAGTATTGTTTCAACAATAATAATATTTCAACAATAATATTGAAGTCTCATATTTATTTCTGTTCACTTCATTACCAGATTGCAGGAGCTGTTCCAACACCACACAGTTTTTTTCTAGTTATCTTAGATACAACCTTTGCCCTAGATATCGTCTAGGTGTGAATGGTAACTTGGGAGGGTAGCTCCTCCCCCAACAGCATTACTTCATACTGCGGTAAATATATGCCAGTTCTACACAACTAATGTTAATAGTGACTTCTTCAAAAGGTTTTAAAAATCTTTTAAAAAGGTTCAAAAATCTCCTCAACATGTGTAAAATGTGGAGTTCCATAGAGCTGGGCAGCCTTGTTTGAGCTTTAACTCTGGCAAACCCAGCTGGTGCTGAGTTGTTCACCCACCACTATGCTTCGGTGCAGGTACTCCACAATCTTGTCAAGCTCTTTAAATGCATAACCTGCCTGGATTCCCCGTCCCAAGATATTAAGGGAGATTTTCTAGAGTAAATGGCAGTTCTCGCCTCAGTGTGTGAGTGTGAAGCATGGACAACTTGTACCTGAACTCAACTTAGAGACTAGACAGCCTATGTGATAGGACCATGGTTCAACTTTATCTTGGTTAACTTCACACATTTACCATTTATATGAGTCCTTTATTTCATTATATGTGTCAGATGATGGGCAATCAGTGGCAAAGGCAGTACAGATCTGCTTTTTGCAAGTTATACAGAGCCAAAATTACACGGCAGTTTGCATCCTTCAATACTGCACTTGGATGTAAAGTAGCGCATTACTGAAAAGTCCCTTGTGTCCATTTTCTAAGAAAGGTATATTAATAAATTGTTGAATGCTGCAAGGACCAGACGGGATTAGCCTTCTCTGATCCAGAGCAGAGGATCAATGTAATCAGAGGAAACTGTTGAAAATTTGTGCCCAAAGGCCTGAATTGTTTTGACTGTAAAAAAAAACATAACAGCGGAGTCTGGAAAGCTCAGCCGGTAGCGCATCAGAATTTTAATCTGACGGTCCATGGTTTAAATCCCTGCTTGTGGGAGGAATAGATGTGTTTGTTAGTCATTTGGTCTCCTTGTGCAGAATAGCCAAACTTGGTTGAAAATGCTGATGCTTTTCAAATGATTCCCATACCATGACAAGCAAGGCATTCCTTGAAGCAAGATAAGACTTTAGAGTGACTGTTATGAAGAAGAGTTATGCTGATAACATTTTCCAAGTGATGATATGGTCAAAAGTCTTCTTGTTCTAAAAGAAAATACAAACACAGTAGTTAAACAGAAAACTTTATGGTTCAATTTAGAGACTGGACAGCTTATTAGATAGGACCAAGGTTCACCGTTCTCTTGGTTAACTTCACCATTTTACAGGTTACTTGAGTACTTTGTGTCTTTATATGTGTAAGACCATGGGCAGTCAGTGGAGGTATAAAGCTGCTTTTTTGTGAGTTACAGAGCCAAGATTCCACCTTGTTGGTTTGTATCCTTGAATAGTGCTGTTGAACATAAAATAGGGGACAAACACCCTGGTGTCCATGTAG